GTACTCCAGCTATAATCAGATTCCGATGTACCTGGATGACGCAGAACACACCTCTTTCTACTCGGCACGCGGACTCTATTGCTACACCATGATGCCATTTGGATTGTAGAATGCCGAGGCCACCTATCAACGCCTAGTCAATAAGATGTTTGCTAGTTTGATAGGTGTTAATATGGAAGTGTATGTAGATGACATGCTAGTCAAGTCCGTATACGCATCCGACCATGTTATTGACCTCAATAAAATGTTTTCTATTTTGCGTGATTACAACATGAAATTAAATCCCAAAAAATGTACTTTTGGTGTCGGCTCGGGAAAATTTTTGGGCTACATCGTCAGCCAGCGCAGCATCGACGCCAACCTCAAAAAGATTAAAGTCATTCAAGACCTCCGACCGCCGAACTCAATCAAAGGAGTCCAGAGTTTGACCGGCAAACATGCCGCACTCAGTCGATTCATCTCGAAGTCGACAGACCGGTGCAAGTCGTTCTTTGACGCGATCAAGAAGAAACACAAATTCGAATGGACCTCGGAGTGCCAGCGAGCATTGGAGGCTATCAAAGAGACCATGTGCCAGGCTCCGACCATGCAGAAACCCAGACATGGAGAGATGCTCTTTCTCTATCTTGGAGTTTCTGACGTGGCGGTCAGCGCCGCCCTCATCCGAGAGGGCAAATCCTTTCAACATCCAGTCTACTACGTAAGCAAGGCACTCCACAATGCCGAGCTGCGATACCCACCAGTGGAGAAAATCGCATTCGCCTTAGTGACTGCTGCGCGGAAACTAAGGCTATACTTTCTCGAATATTCAATAACCGTGCTCACCGCCTACCCGCTGAGACAGATCCTTCACCGGCCTGACACGTCAGGCCAGATGGTAAAGTGAGCGGTGGAGCTGGGGTAATATGACATACATTACCGACCCTGAACAGCAATAAAGGGACAGGTACTATCGGACTTCATAACCGAATTCACTCCGGGACTTGAAGAAACAACAAACAACCAACCGTGGATGATGTACGTGGATGGATCCTCTACTGCCGGACGAGCAGGCGGAGGAGTCGTCCTCGTAGATCCCCACAAGAAGCTCTTTTGTCATTCGATACAATATCTTTTCCCGGCGATGAACAACGAAGCTGAATACGAGTCATTGCTATCTGGGCTCGCCTTGGCTGAGGCCATGAGCCTAACCGACCTCATCATATACTCATACTTCATGCTGATGGTCAAGCATATATCCGGAGAGTTTGAAGTGAAGGAACCAAGGCTGGTCCTGTACCTGGGGCTGGTGAAGAAGAAGCTGAGCAAACTCCGGACTAAAATAGAGCACATTCCTCAGACAGAGAACGTGCAAGCCGATGTCCTGCCCGCCTTGCCTTGCCTCAAGTGTCGGGGTGGAAAGTGTCAAATATGTCCAAGTTGGACACAAGGAACAGTCGTCCGTGCTCGGCACCTCGGTTCTAAGTGCTGGGCAGGGGACAGGAGACCAAGACCCAGGCTGGATGGTCCCGATCCGATTGTATCTCGAGACCGGTGCATTGCCGTCTGACCCAAAAGAAGCCAGACAGCTTCGTGCTCGGGCAGCTCAGTTTACGATCGTTGCTAGCGAACTATTCAAATGGGGTTACTCAGCACCTTTGCTCAAATGCATAGACGAAAAGAGTGTCGAGTACATACTTAAACAAATCCACGAAGGCGTATGTGGGAACCACTCAGGGGATACGCCCTCGCACACAAGGTCCTTAGGCAAGGTTACAACTAGCGAGCCTAAAGAAGGACGCCTTAGACTTAGCCCAGAAATGCGCAAAATGTCAAACCTTTGCGCCCAACATCATCCAACCATCGCAGCCCCTGAGTCAACTCACAGCCCGTGGCCATTCGCCAGGTGGGGCGTCGACCTGATCG